GGGGGTGGGGGGTGGGTGTCAGAGCACTTCTGCCCCCCTCATGGTCACAGGTAGTCACTGGGCTGGAGGTCCCCAACTCTTCACACTCCCCTTGTCCCTCTCTCACCAGTTGACCGCTCTTTGCAAAACCTGTCCCTGGCTCAGTCCCTCTCCCTGAACCTGAAGAACCACTACAGCTTGGACGTCCACCTGCCGTCCACCTCCACCCCCGCCAGTATCCTGGGCAGCCCCGTGGCCCCCGGCTCCCTGACCGCCCTGGGCGCTGGGGACTCCTACCTCAACCTGGTCACCCTGGAGAGGGGCGGCCACCGCTTGGGCAGCAAGGAGGGGGACGAGTGCCTGGCCGTGCTGGAGGGGCAGGACGGGCTCAGCCGGCGCGTGGAGGGCTCCGAGGTCAGCGACTTCGCTCTGCTCAATGGGAGCAGCCGGCAGAAGGCGGACGACACAGAGAGAGGGGATGAGGACAGGTAGGACGTGCCACCTCCATCTCCCGCCAGCGGAGTGGGAGCATCCCTAAAAGACCCTCCTGCTTCCCTGGCCACATTTCGGAGGGCTCACGGCAGCAGGGGCCGGGGGAAGGGCTGTGCTCTGGGTGCTGAGGGGCAGGGACACCAGCCCAGGGGCTGTGCACTGGCTCGGGTGCAATAAACTGGGGCAAGGAACCCACCGTGTCCCCTCATGGGGTCACTGCCTGCCCTGTTTCTGTCTCCCTGCTGCAAGATGCTCATTGCCACATCACTCCAACATCTCTGGGCAATGGGTTGCACTGATGGGACCCAGCAAAGATCTTTTGGAGAGCCTGGGGCAGCCGGCCTGAGCCCTCCACACAGGTAAATACTTGCCCAACACCTCCTCTCTCTGCCTTTGCTTCCCAGGCGGCAGCAGCCCATTCCCAAGATCAACCCCCCCCCACCTATCCTACGGAAAAGGTCAAGCAAGACCTCCCCGAGCCTGGAAGTGGAGGTGAAGCCCGAGAGCACTGCCCACGTGAGCCTGCCCAGCCCCAGCATCTCCAGCCTCACCAACATCGCCGTCAGCTCCCTCACCCTCTTGGACCCCGAGACAAGGACTCCCGCACAGAGCGCTGCCTCCGGCACAGAGCCTGTCCCTGCTGGGACCTGCCAGCGTGCTCTGGGCAAGGACAGGACTGGAGAGAGCAGGCAGATGTCCCCCCTGGCCAGCTTCCATGATCTCGCAGCCAGCGAGGCCCTGACCAAGGATTTGGCCGCCCTGGCCAGCCCCACGGACATCACGCTGCCCTTCTCCCCCGCGGATGACACCTGCTTGCACATCAGCTTCTCAGAAGATGAGCTGCTGGAGCCAGAGCTGGACGCTGTGGGGGGACCCAGCAGGGTCCCCCCTTAGTGGGAAGGCAGTAGGTGGGCAGCTGGCTGGCAGGCAGTCCCAGCAGCTCCATCCACACCACTCCACCAGCCCATGCTGGGGCTGGGGACTTCTGTGCCCAGGCTGGGAGGCAGGTCCCTTTGCTGTCCTCATCCCATGAAGCAGCTTCCCCCCACCATGTGTGGGGCTGCCAGGCATGATGGCACCCTGTCCTCAGTCTGCAGCAGCTCACACTGCCTTCCTGCTGCCCTGTCCCCCCAAAATGCTACCCATCCCATCCCCCTCACACAGCCAGGGGTGCTCTCTCCGCTGCTGCCTGGCAGAGACACAATTTGTCACTACATCCCTTCTGCTGGCCAGGTGGCCACGGGCAATGGGAGCCCCCGGGCAGGGGCAGGGCCATGAACACCCAGACACGAGGCTGCTGTCACTGACCTGGTCCATGGGTTGCCATCCATGGTGACGATGCCCATGGGGCTGTGTGGCACAGCCACCGTACTGCCCCCCTGCCCCGCTCCCCGAGGTGGCTACCACAGGCTGGGTCTCCCCAGGGCATCACCACGCTGTGCCCAGCCCTGCTTTTGGGGACAGCAGCCACCACCGACATGTCCCCACACAGCGAAGCCACCACTGCCTCCCCACACAGGTGCCTTTTCCCACTCCCCACGCAGGCTGGGGACACCACTGGAGGCCAATAACTGGGTGCAGGGCTGGCTCGGGGAGCTGCTGCTGTGGTGGGTGCCCCCCACATCTTGGGGTGAAGGTGGGAGAGCCCTGCCGTGCCTCTGAGGAGCTGGTGGCTGCTCCATCGTGCTGATTTTCGGGTGTAACAGTGTGGTTTGGGTTTGGTCTCAGAAGTGTGAGAATCCTGGGATGAGTTAAGGTTGAAAGCAGAAGCCCAGCTCTGGTTGAAGGGCCGAGGCCACAGTGGTGGCACGTGTCCCCTTCAGCCCGGGCAGGTTTTGGGGAGGGACCTGAGGAGATGCTCATCCACCTCGGGTGTTTGCGAGAGGGCGTTGGGAAAGTGTTGGAAGGTCGAGTTGGGGAAGTGTCGAGCAGGAACGGAGATTTGGAGCAGCCACACTGCCTGTTCCCAGCACAGCACCTCTCCCACGGGGACAGACAGGGGTGACAGGACATGTACCCCAGGGCCAGCAGGGACTATGTCAGCGCTGGCTGGGAGGAGCTGGTGGCACCACCACTGGTGACCAGGGCTGGGGTTTGTACAGCTGTGGCTGGGCTGTCCCGTAGTGCAGTAGAGACAGACCAGCCCGTCCGTAGGAACACAGTACACTGCAGTTTGGTTACTGACTTTTAAAGAAATAAAAAATAAAAAATAAATGTGTCTGATTTGCAGAGCGAGCGCTGTGGTCTCTGCCCCACTGGGGCCCCTGCACAGGGAGCCCTGAGCCACCATCCCCAGGTGTGGACTGGGGACCCCCAGGTATTCCCAAAGAAGAACCATCCCTTCTGGGAATGATGCCCCTGGCCGGCTCCCCTGCACCCTCCCCAGTCCAAACAGGGGGGCCAGCAGCCCTCTCTGGGCTCAATCTGCAATCAGTCCCAACCTGGGAGTCCCAGCAGGAGGTCCTGTGTCCCCAGGGATGCTGCCACGCAGGGGACAGGTTCCTCAGTCAGGGATGGGGCTCATTTCCAATGCAACCCCCCCACCCCGAGCCCAGCAGCACCCACACCGTGCTGCACAGCACCGAGCACTGCCACCTGCCACAGCCCCCCGGCAGGGACCCGCTCCCCACACACCCCCTCTGCCCTTTCCTGTCTCCATTTCTGCTCCTGATATTAACCCTGGCCCCAGCACACAGGGTGGGAGTACCACGGGTGGAGGAGGTGGATCACAGGCAGGGGCAGTGACAGGATGGGACCAGCCACATGCCAGGGGTCCATGGGGACTACCCATGGTCAGGAGGGGTGAGAGACCCCCGCCCTCTGCAGCACCCTGGCCCCAGCCCCTCCAAGGTGAGGAAGGAACCCATGGGTGATTCCACACAGAGGGTCTGAGACAGACAGGGACCCCACGAGACCACCCACCCAAGCAGGAGCAGGGACCCAGCTCAGCCCAGGGGGCTGGATGGACCCAGGACCTCTGTGGAGGGGGGGGTCTAAGAGCTACTCTCCATCCCTCCACGGAGCGGGCGCAGCCTCCAGCGTGATGGGGCTGGTAGCCCTGTCCCCAGGCCCACCACAGACATCTGCCTGGGGGGCCGCCCGCGCGGGGAGGGGGCACTTCCAGCCCAGCCTCGTATTATGCTTCCTTCACGCGAAGAAACTTTTTCCTTTGCTGTCTGGTAAGCTGCTAGCAATCATCAGGCAGGCAGGTGGTAAAGATTCATATCCATCAAACAATGCCATTTAGTTTGTAACCTGTGACTAAATCTGGTGTTAGCTTTAATTTCAGAGTCTGCTTTAGGGCTCGCTTGTTAATCTCTATGCAAAGCAGATGAAATGAATATGCAGCATTTTGGATGTAATTGTACGGCTTCAATTCAGCACTATAATTTTCCAAACAGGATCTTGCAATCAAGCTTCTATTCATTAGTGTATAAACAATTTAGTTTCTCAGCTCTCCAGTATGCCAATCATCTCAATGGAGTGAACATCTCTGACAAAAAGAGGAGGAAAGTTTCCTTTGTGTAACAGAGGTAAAAGTTGCTCCATACTTCAGACAATTCCCACCCGGCAGATCCGGGCCGTTCCCGCCGAGGCAGCCGTTTCCCGGTGCCCCAAAACACCTCCTGGCTGTGGACAGCATCCCGGGGGGGCCATGCACTGCTGACCTCCCAGCCAGTGTAGCCCTAAACCCCAGAAATTCTGCACATGAGACCCCAACAGAGGAGCCCAGATCCCACAGGATCAGGTTGCCTGAGAAGGTGCCACCACGCAGCCCCTCGGGAGCCCCGAGCGTTGCTGGGGGGTGCCAAGAGCAGCCCATGGCTCTGGGGAGGGGACAGCCATCTCTACCAAAGCCCCCTGCATGTCCCCATCTCCCCACCACCACACACCCCACGCCGGTGCCACAGGACAGGACACAGGGACACCCCTCACCCGGGACCAACGGTGACTCCCCCCATGGAGGACGGGGCCAGGTTTGCACAGGGATGGGTGGGGGGACAGGTTTTGGTCTCAGGGGCTCAGCCCCCTCATGTCTGGGTGCTTTCCTCAGCGGGGACCCCAGGGTGTTGCACACACCCCAGCACATCTGGCTGCATCCCCATCCCTCCACATCCCCATCCCTCCGCATCCCCATCCCTCGCCGCTGCTCGGAGGGACCAGCCCAAGAGCCTCGACAAAGGGAAGCGCCGTCGGCGGAGCCGCTCAGCGCAGTCTCCGCTTCCAAATGAATATCGACAGCGCTAATTACAGGCCGCCATGCAGACAGCTTATTAGCTTGTCACAAAAAGACGGTATTGAACTCAAAGCCCGCGGTATTCACGGAGCGCAGCAAGACGCTCCCCAGACAGCACAGCGAACCAGGCAGGCGAACAACCTCCAGCAAAACTAATTACTTCCTGATTGTCTACGGCCACCCACTGGGTATAATAGTATAGACTAAATTTGGCATATACATAACTAAGCACTCGGCACCAATTTGGCGTACAATAATCATCCTCTGTGTTGCATAATTAAAATCTGATCACTTGGAATAATTATTTCATATTCCCGGTATCGGGTGAGGATTGCATAATGCGGGGTGGCAGGAGCACGGGAGCGAAACCAGCCGCTTTCACAGGCCTGAACACCCCCCCCTTTTTCCCCTGGGAATGATGTTATGGATCCAGGGATGACAAGAGACTTGCTGGGCACCAGCTGATGGGCAAGGAGCCACGATGCCTGAGGCTGTTGGTCAGCAGTGGCCACGGAGGAGCTGGAGTCACCTTAACTCTGTCCTCCCACAGCCATGGTGAGCCCTCCCCGGCGGGGAAGGACGATACCGGCACAGGACGGGCTGTCCCCATGTCCCCAAGCACACACTCTCCACATTGACCTTTCCAGGCAGGGTGCTGCCCCGCTGCCCGCCCGGCCGGGATGCTCACCGCCCGGCCCCATTGTGCTCGCGCGTCTGCTAAAGGCGTTTGGAAAGACACGGCAATAAAAAAATAAAAATCAAGTGGAACGTGTGTGTCTAATCCATTAACTTCCTCTGGCGGCTCCCCGGGGACCCGGCGAGGAGGAGAAAGAATACGTGGATATTGCACGCGCCCTGGCACCTTGTCCCCAGGCCAGCCCCGCCGCTGGCCGCTGCCACGGGCTCATAAATCACAGCGGGCGACAGCGTTTCACAGCTCTCTTCCCAGCCAGGATATGGCCATTCCTGCTGATTACACGGCTGGAGCGCGGGGGAAGCTGCATCTCCCACTTCCAGGAAGGGAGGATCCGCAAGGAAAACGCATTGATAAAAAGAAGAACGAAATCAGCTTTGTTCACGTTGCGAATCTCCCATTGTTCCTGCCGCGGCCGCCGGCCCTCGCTGGAGAAAGTATTTCCTCAGCGATAAATCTCCTGGGCTCCTCGCAGCCTTCGCCTTGGCACCGGACCCTCCTCGGGTTGTTTTGAAAGAAAAAGCAGCTTTTGCCGCTGGCCCCCTGCGGGGTGCACTGGGCCATACGTGGTGGGATTTGGGGGGACGAGGGATGTCCCTGGGGCAGGGGACGGGGAGGCTGGTGCCCATCCCGGGGGTCTCCAGCCAGAGCCACACCAGGGGACCCACACTGCTGTGCCTAGAATCTTCCCTTCGCTCCCAACCCGCGGAGCCCGTGTCCTCCCTGCCGGCACGGCACGACCTAGGGAGAGCTGGACACTAATCCCAGCTCCGAAACGTTGAGCCAGCTGTGGCCAAGCACTTGAAATACGGGAGTCGGGCTGACAGTTGGACAAGAAAAATAGATCAAGTTTCCAACAAAATAGAGGCAAGCTGATCTGATTTTCATCAGCATCTTCAGCCGCCTTTCGGGAAGCCCCAGCCCGCTCCTCATTCCTGCTCTCTGCTTTACAAACCACTTAATTCCTTGTTGCTTTGGAAACCCTCACAAAGACCCTCTGCATCCCCCAAAATAACGAGCAACAGATGCTGCTTTGACCTCAGCAACTTCCTGGAAACATACATTTGTCAAAATAAAAATAAAAAGATTAATGTGAGGAAGGCTCTTAAATTATAGGGAAATAGCAGACGGGGAGCCCAGCCATACTCGCCTGACATCGGTAACTTGGACAGTGGAGAAACCTGAGGTCGGCCAGGAGGGGGCTGGAGGAGTGGGGGTCCCCGTGTCCCCGGGGGTCCCTGTGCCCCTGTTCCCTCTGGACCTGTGCAGGGACAGCCATGGGCTGAGCTGGCACCAGGGCTCTCTGCCCACCCCCACCTGCCACACCTGGAAGGGCTTCAGTTTGGGAGCCGCAACCCACAGTCTTGCTTCGAGTCAGGTTTGCAAAAATAATTCAAAAATAGCTATGAAAACGAATGCTTTCAGCGTGAAACCCATCCCTGAGCAGCCCCCGTCTCCCAAGGGTTGTGGTCTGGCAACACCATCCCCAGCCTGAGTAACACGGGGTGCAGGCTCTGTTCTCATCCCTCCCACGTTTCTCAGTTTGTAGGAGTAACTGATATCTTAGAGTTTTAAACCACCCCCCCCCTTGCCTATCCCCAAACCACAACAGTCCCACAGGATGAAGGAGATGTCCAAACAGCAGGTAACCAGGAACATTTCCATTTTGAGCCCTCAAACACCAGCAGGTTCCAGCCTCACCCTCTGACCACAGCCACCTGGCACATCCCAGGGGACAAGAGCTTCCCAACAACACACACAATGCCCCCCGACAAAGAAGGGCTCCTTCCAGGGCTTGTGACAGCCACGCTGGTGAGTGACACAGCCCGACCCGTGGCACAACCCACCCCCTGCAACCCTGAACTCTCAGCACTCACCAGAGCCCCAGGCAGGCAGGAGTGCTCCACAGGCTCCAGGAAAGAGAAGCCCCTTTTCCCTCCCAGCTTTATGGGATCAGCCAGAAACGAGCTGATGGGAAGGGTTTCTCCTTGCCCTGGTGTGAGGTGGGCTGGGTGGTCCTGGGGATTTGGTGCACCTGGAGCAGGAGGGTGATGGGCTCAGTAGGCATCCCCATCCCCATCCCCATCCATCTCCTGAT